AGGGGGTGCCAGGATCAGACCTGGCGGTGACGTCCCCCCGAAGGGTGAGCAGGAGTTGGCCAGGGTGGGTCGGAGGACAGATGGTCCAGGACCAGGGGCCAGGCCCTCTTTCTCGCTGCGCCCAGGTCAGCCGCTGCCCGGGGAAGGAGCCGAGCTCCGGCAGGTGTTGGCGGCCGGAAGGCTGCTGTTCCTGGGCCGCGCCCGGCAGGCCCAGGGGGGCACCTACACCTGCCAGTGCAGCAACGCGGCGGGGACCAGCAGCCAGGACCAGCAGCTGGAGGTGCACGGTGAGCCGGGCCGGCCACGGCGGCGGCCGGCAGGGCAGGGCCCCTCGCCGGTGGGTGGCACTTGGCGACTCCGCTCCCAGGCGCTTCCCACGGCTCCTGACGCAGCACTAGAGAGGGGCGACCCCAAGTTGTGGGGGCCGGTCCGGGTAGAGGCCCTGTCGCTGCATCTGCCTGTCCCGCAGCCACGGCACGGAGCAGCTCCGTGTGGGATCACCCCAGACAGTAAAACCAGTTTAGCATCTTGGGGAGAACCCCCCTCGAATAATCCTCAACCCCGACCAGCCGCAACGCCTGTCAGAGTGCCAGAAAGCTGTCCTCTGAGGAAGGGAACCCCCAGAGCTGAAGGACTGTGCTGTGAGCTTGTACCAAGTAGCGGGGCCCCTCTGCCCCCAGAGTCCAGAATGCGAGGTGTGGGAGAGGGCTGTGGGGTACTCTGACGAAATGGGGAGCAGAGACCCAGAGAGGTCGGGTCGCCTGGCCAAGGTCACAGCACCAGGAGCGGTGGGGGACAGAGCTGGGAGGGTGCCCCCACGCAGCGGGGACCCGGCACGTGGCGGCAGCTTCCCGTGACCTTCTGCCCACGCTCCAGCCCCTCCTCAGATCACTGCCCCCCGGGAGCCCCACACAGCAGTGTCCGTGGTCCAGGATGGGGCGACCACTCTGGAGTGCAACGCCACAGGGAACCCCCCGCCCAGGGTGACGTGGGAGCGGGACGGCCAGCCGGTGGGCGCCGAGCCTGGCCAGCGCCTGCGCGTGGAGCGGGCCCGGGCCGCCCAGGCCGGGCACTACAGCTGCGTGGCCGAGAACGCGGCCGGGAGGGCCGAGAGGGCCTTCTCGCTCTCCGTGCTGGGTGAGGACTGGCAGGCAGCCCGGGAGGCTGGGGGGCCCGGGAGGCTGGGGGGCCCGGGAGGCTGGGGGGCCCGGGAGACTGGGGGGCCCCGCCCCCAGCCCCCAGCCCGCACCCGGCGGGTGGCCCCAAACCCCTGCGCGCAGGGCGGGGTGCTGAGGGTGCTGCAGACGACGAAGCGAGGCTC